ATAAATCTGTGTGAGTTCATCTTCTTAGGTATATTTAGAATGTACATATCTTAAGATGCCTATTTTATTTCTTCACTGCATTATATATATTACCCTAAATTTAATGTAAACGTTTTGTATTGTGTGTGTGCTTAAAGTATAATAGTCATTAATTTCATAAGTAACCATAACAGTAACTGACTGCTCCTTCAACACCACGCCATACCGCATTACACAACTTGTGGCAGCAAAATTGAATTAGGAAATCTAAAATGCTGCCAAAAACTTCAAAAGTTCTTAGTTGAAGCCACCACCACCTACAGGGAAAACAATTCAACTTAGTCTAGCAACAATTCCAAGTTTCCGGCATAGTTGAGTATATTGAAGTGTTTCCTTTAGAGTTTGTACATGTTTTCGACTGCGAATCCTTCTTGCGTGGATGTGTTTGCAGTAAATAAAAGTTTTTGTTTTCACATAAATGCAAGGATATATGCATGAATGCAAAGTAATGAAGTAGGAAATGATGTAACGAAACAGCATTTCTTCATAAAATGATAAGCAAGAGAGTATTCTTTTTATGCGATATTTCTGCAATGAATTTTATTATAATGTTATAGTAGTTTCAGAAAAGTTATTTTTATTTTCATACGAAATTCAATTGAAAATTTATTTTCTAATATCGAAAAACTATTATTTGTTATTTAAAGAGCGGAACACAGTAATCTACACTTATAGTTCAATAACACTGCATAGGAGTTGCGCTAAATATTCAATCGTCTATATACATACAGCTTATAAATAATTATAAAATGAAAAAATTCGTAGAAATTGTTTATTTTGATATGAAATCACCAGTCTGATTCAATTATGGATAATTAGATCCAAAAAACTCAGAAGTTTCGTAATGATAATTTTCTTTAATTTTAGCTAATAAGTATACGTACCTACATTGAATATTGCTCCTCTAATGACATCCTCCTTAAAGAAATTTAGTCCATATAATAATTATTAGGTTGACTAATTAATAACTGCTCATAAATCCTTTAGTACAAGAAGTAAATGAGAAATCGACTCTACAGAAGTTGATCTCAAAAAAATGGGTGTGTATAATTGGAGAGCCGAAGTAGTAGATTGGGGAAAATGAATGGCACTGGTTATGAAAACACAACTGCAACAAGAACAGCAATACTAAGAAACACGAAGAAAAAGTGGTATTTATGTAGCACCTTTTCAAAAACTATACAACATTTTTACTGAATATATTCACATATATACATATATCTAAAAGTTCTGAAATATATGATATTTTATGATTTTTTATGATATATATATTATGATATTTATATTTAAATATTTATATTTATTTATATTTATATAATATATTTCACCCTCATGTTTTTTATTTTTAATCCGATTCATTTTATAGTAAAGTTTTAATAATCGCATTAAAAATAAGATCTCAGATTTTGGTTGTTTCAAGTTCCGTCCTTATATGTATATAACACGGATGATGATAACATATGTTATCATATGTTAACATATGTTATCATCATCCGTGACAAAACAGTCCATGCAGGACCTAAGAGTGTTTAACAACATCCTTCCATTCCTATTTAGCTTAACATACCATTATTAACTAATTTATGATCCATTTCGACATACTACAATCCACAAACTTTTGAGTCATTGCACTTCCTTTCTCATTGAAGAATTAAAAATAATGTTCTTTAAAAATAAACTGTTCAGTTTTTTTATATGAAGAGTCGCATTTCAAAGTAATGGTGTTTTATTGCTTGACTTCTGTGTATAAAAAAAAAAATTTTGTTAAAAATAAGTTCATTACAAAGTCTAAATAAAAAGTTAACTAAAAATTGATAACGTCATAAAAATAAAAATAAATGAAATTAATAAAATATTTTTTGAAAGCATAAAAACAACAGTTTTCACATTTTTATAGCTTAGTTCGCGGGTTTAGTTTGACGGCAGCTGACGATTTGATGGGAGTTAAGAGTGTCGTCTGCGGTTGACAAGTCACTCTTGGTGGTAAAAGTAATTACTCGTATATAGGGTCAGACTGCATACAGATATTAATAAAAAAATTCTTAATTTGTAATGGAAAAATTGTAAAATTATTATAATAAAAATATTATGAATGAAGTTTTTTCACTTGAGTTCAAATCGAAATTAAACTCATATAAAACTATTTACTTCAGACATTGGCTGTCAAACTGAAATGAGGTGGGCGTTCGTGTTAAGGAAATGATTTGGGTAGTCACTGGCGGGAACGAATTTCCGGTTTAAAAGCATAATTTACGACCAACTAAACTGTCAACTATTAAACTTAGCAAATTGCCTGCATCTTCCTGCTTACTTGGCAATCGGTCAACTAATGTGCTGAAATTAGTTTATGATTAGGCAGCAACGACGAAATACTTACGGGCACTTTGACATGCAACACATTAAAATTACAGGAAACTTACGAGTAACCCTTGAGAATTTCAAGAGACGATACCATTTATTGTGCATGGTAAATGGCCCATAAATTCAGGCCACTTCTATTACCAGCAAAACTGTTAAAGTTTCTTGACCATAAAATAGTTATTTTTTTTTAAAAACAAAAAAAAAACAAATGTAATAAAATTTGCACAGTTCGATAAACCATTTGTCTAATGCCTACAGAAAAATATTGAACGTCTTTAAGTGAGGAAATTTACGAATATACTAAATTTGTAAGAATTTTAGTATTGAAAGATGTAAACTCAAGCTAGTAAGTTAGTAATGATATTTTCTGCAGCACATTTTATCCACGTGCTTTCGACTTACTCTTGATTTTTACTATTTTATAGATTTTCTATTAATTTTTCCTGCCCATGTGACCTACTTCTTCAAATTCATGCTAAAATAGCCTGTGCGTAGAATGGAATAAAATATTACATTTTAGTCCCACAACAACCGAAGGATGCGCTATTGATGTCCTTTAAGTCATTTAAATAATTTTTGTCTGCTTATGCTGTCAAGCGTGAATTAAATGCTTGACTTCAATATGCACAAAAGGACAACTTTAAATAATTTGAATTCGGTCTCTTGAGCCTGGTCGGTCTTTAGGTCGATAAGGTTGCTGAGCATTGTATCCATTAGAGAAGAAACAAATCAACAATTTTCGTTAAAATGAAGTAATCTATGGGCTTTTATTTATTTCTTGTGTGGGTGTTATTTTTTGTTTTGTTAATCGACAGTTGTCATTTTAGCATTTCCGCATTATTAATATTATTATAGGACCTAAATTTCGTTATATTTGTGCTAATTTAAACTGAAAATATTTAAACTTATTTAAGTTTTGATAATAGTGAGTTCTTTTTAATGAAAACTCTTTCTTAAATTATTAATTTTGATATAAAATATAATTTCATAAGGAAGACCAATTTATTTCTTTAATAGCTTTGAATAGCTTTTTGTTAACTTTGTCAATTTTTTTCAAACATTTAAGAAAAATTTTTAAAGATTTATTTCTTACTTTTATAGTTTTAAAAATATTTAATTTGGCTAATAAATATACAGAGTATATCTATATAACACGAATATACTACAGATAACTACACAAAGACTGAACTAGTTGCATTCAAGAACCTTAAGCGGTTGTTTGTTCTTTCGAATATATTTCGAATATATGCCTTAATATTATTAATATATGAGATAATATTAAATTTCGCAGATATATCAGATTTAAGGACAACATTTCTGACGATCACGCAAAGACTTAACTAGGCATTTATGTTAGAAGAGATTCCTTGATTATGAAAATACATTTATTATAAACAATAATCTTAGTTTTATTGTATATTAGAATTAATCACTGAAAACTGTATGAATTACTTAAAACCGTAAACTTTCACAATTGTTAGAACTCTATAATATTCAATTCAAGTTTGCTCTTCTCTTCTCTAGTTCTGGTTTTAAGAGTCTTATTTAAATCAAAGTGGGATTCATATGTATAGCTCAAGGCCCATTGTTATACTATTAGTTAAAGTTTCTCTCAGCTTTTAAGCACCCTTTAGAAGAACTATTTGATTTTCAATACAATCTATAAAATTCTTGCTATTTTAACTGTCCCCAGGGAATCATCTGATTTCCAATAAAATCTTTGAAATTCTTGTTACTTTAACTAGGCTTAGCTGTGTCCGCTCTTTAAAGTAGAATACTTCTATGGAATTACCCCTAAGTTTGATAAAAATCGGACTTCAACATTTTCATCTTTAGTGGAACTATCTGATTTCCTATAGAATCTTTAAAATATTTGTTACTTCAAGTGTGCCTAGAACTATTCGTTCTTTAAAGTAGAATTCTCCTACGGAATTAGCACATTGTTTGGAAAAAATTGAATATTGATACAGCTAGTTTCTACAGAAGTCTCTAATGGGAGCACCCTATCTTGTTATATGCATACCAATATGTAGCAAGTTTCTTCTGTTAATTTCTGCTTCTGTAGTTATTATTTATGTAACAATACACTTAAGAAAAAAAAAGAACATCAATCCTGGATATTATTAATTATTTTTTTATTATTTATAATATTTTTTTACTGTTGCCCTTCTACCCTAGTGGACCATAGGGCCTCGTCCTGAATGTTATTACTTTGTCCAAAATAGAAGTGCCTTTTCTAGCCAGTTAATGAGCTACATAAAAGATTACAGTAGTGCGATACTCTGAAGCTTATATATCTACTGAAAATATCCAAGTTGACTTACAGTGAATATAATGTTTAAACATTTCTCTATAAAAGATTTAAAAAACTTGTACGTAAAAACTTTTGCTAATTACATTTGTTGGCTTAAAAATTTAAACACTTCAGAAATAAAATTATATTAAATGGTTTTAAATTCATAATAATGTAATTTCAGCAATTTAATGAATATAAACTTTATAATTAAATATTCAAAAATAAACAAAAATTATTTTGAATTAAAATTAAAACGCATTATGCGTTTTTCGTATGAAAATATTATTTTGAAAATGGAGGACTTTCATGCTTAAATGAATAAAAGTATTTATAATTATAGAAAAATGAACACTAAAAATTTAATTGAAATGAATAATAAATTGAAATTCTGTGTGCAATTAATTTATTAGTATTAAATATTTATATTATTATTTATTGTAACGAGAATGGAATATATTTTTGCATGTTTGATTTGTTCAAAGAAATATAATTGAAGTTTTTTTTTTTGAAATAGTTATACATCACATTTAATATTAATTTTTAGTTGGTTAGTTAGTTAAATGCTAACTAAGCATTTCTAATTAGTTAAAAAATTTAATTAAATAATGCCTTCAAGCGTCTATCAGAAGACTGTACTTCACGTGATTATTTTTTCATATTTTTATAAAAAAATCTTTACACAATATATACTTCAATCATAATATGTATCATAAGTATGTTTTGGTAGTCTATAAATATCTATAACATATATACTATTATATATATTATACTATATATTATACTATTATGTTTAATTTCTTAATACGATTATAAAATAATAAACTTGTCTCTTAAGTTTCTATTAAAATTTAATGTTTAAATAAATTTTTGTGTAATCCGTAATGTAAAAAATGAAATCGTGCTAGTTAATATGCAATCCTTAATCCTTTCAATAACACTTAAACTTAAGCACTTTAAATTGATTTTTAAACACAAAATTTGAATCACTTCGGCTCTCATTTATAAAATCAACAGAAATAATTGTGCATGAGTTTAATTGATTTTATTGCAATTCCGCAATATAAATTGAATAAAAAATCAGCAAATAAATAATGTTCTCTGCTTAATTGTTATTTTATTTATTTAATTAATTACGATACTCAATAAAAAAAAAATGCATAAATGCCTTTGAGCAATTAAGAGTATTTAATACGAATATTTTAATTACTACAAGTACTTGCGTTTCATTTTTAACTTAAAACTAATTAAATCATTTACATAAATATTACATATATGTTTATATATTATTGAAATGAGTATTTTTTTAAAATTTATTTTAATTAATTTTTAGTGAAATAATTCGTCTGATTTTTTAGTGCTGTTAGCTGGCAGTTTTTTTTATAGCTTTTTTTCTAGTTCTTCACTTTTCTTCACTTTCATTTTTTAACACCGTGTCCTAGCAATTTTTTTGTTTTCTAATTTTTTTTTCAAATTTTTATTGCTATTAGATAGATACGTTCTTAGATAATCTGGCTGTCAATAAATATACATACGAAGTTACTATAATTCAAAAATCGATAGCTAAATTTTTTTTTTGTTTTTTTTTTCTTGCAGTAGGTGGAAAGCATCGAAAGCCACAGTGTGAGACTTGAACCCACTAAAACCACCTCTTTGGAAAGAATATGGAAGATTGTAGCCCCAGCGAACAGCTAAACATAAATGTTATTAAGCAGAATTATGTCTAATTATTTATTTGTGTAGATTATTATGATAACATTAAGGATCTTTCTAGACTTAAGATACTCTACAAACAGACGTCTTGCAATTGATTAATATTTATTAAGATTATTGCAGACATAAGACTTGATATCCACTTGAATTAATATTTAATTACATATAATAATATTGCTTATTTAATGATTATGTACATTAGGAAAATATATTAATAACATTAAATATTTTTATATATTTTTATTTAAATTTGATTAATTAAATTATATATTTAATGTAGAAATAAAAGAAAAAATTAAGTGCATCGCTCCTATAAAAGGTTTATTATTTACCAATTTAACAGATGTTAAAATAAGAATTACAAAAATTTATATATTTAAATTATTAGTAGAACTATGAAAAGTCAACTAAAAATATACAAGGGGGTAGTGATACTTAGATTTTTCTTCTAAGTGTCTCGTGGGAACGCATAGCAAACCACTAAAAACTAAGGCAACTAACTTTAGTCGGTTAGTAAGATAGCAGACGGATCAGACCACATCAGCACATCTCTAGGCTGCAGAGATATAAGATAATGGCAAATCGAACCATAATATTCTGTGGTGCCTTTATATTTATTATATATTTAAAAAAAATTTGTAAACATCTTTCTAGTCGGAGTATTTTCTAACAACAATAATAAGGATCCGTGGCCGAGATACTTAAGGTGATTGAAATTCAATAATTTAATTAAGGTGATTGATTGAGATGCAGAAATCGCACGACATGCAGTCACCCTGTCTGAAACATCGTTTGGTATGAATATAAATATATATATTTTATTGTCAGTTAGGTGAAGTGCATGTGAAGTGAACAAACCCAACTCAACTAGCTAATAAAGTTATTTTGATTCTATAATACCTCGTTATAATGAGAACAAGAATGGTCAAGTTAGAACCAGCCAGAAGAATTGGTATATCGCTGAGTGTATTAAAGAAGAGAGTGCTCAAAAGCTTCAACCTGTTGATGGACATGCTTGGACACAAACACAACAGGTGTTATATATTTTTCACTAACAATAATTGTAATTAACTTAAGTGAATTTAAATCATTTTGTATTAAAATTAGACATATAGTTTAGAAATACTTTATATGATTGAGATAATTGCCTAATTTTTTTATATATTAGATATGTTAGAAATGTCTAAGTTTTTCTTATTATTATAACTTAGTCTATTTGTTAAGTAAATTTTATTTTATTTCTTACTTTACTACACTGTATACAGTACAAGATAATAGCAGTATATTTATTAAGCTACTGAAATGATTACAACAATCTAATATAGCAACTTAATGCCCCAGAGTATAGACAAGCAAATACGGCTACGTCGGTATGTTATGTCGGTACGTACTACGTAGACAAGGAAATATGAGTAATTTGCAATGAAATCATCATAAGCAAAACTTTTATTATTATCTTGACAGGAAAATCATACTCACACATTGTTACTTGTAAAGAGCTCGAAGCGTTAAAGGATACTTTGCAAGGTGTAAACAAACGCACAACAACAATAACAACAACAACATCAACAACATCAACAACATCAACAGCAACAACGACAACGACAAAAGTAGCAACAAAGGCCAACCCAGTAACAACAAGTTTAATAACAGCAACAACCAAGCTCATAAGTAATATTATGATAAGCATCATCATTGTCAACAACTCATCAGTAAGAACATCAGAAATAACTTGAGCAGCACATGAAACTTGCATGCAACAAATACTGGTACGAATGCGAGTGTATGAAGTGAGTGTACAATACACAGTGGTAGGTAGCAACAGAAAAATCAGCGGTAACAGAGGTGAGGGATAATGTTAAAGTACGACAGGAGTTAGTTGGCTGGGGAGAATAATGTCATGGAAGTGGAAACTTTTAGTTACTTAACATTTGTAGTTGCAATGTTAAGTGCACCTGCAGATGTGAGTGTGTTTGTAAGAAATTGTAATCGACATTGAAATGTTGCAGATAAGTTAATCACTTAGAAGCAGTTATCTTATTGCATTTTTTGTGGTTACTCAGAAATGAATATGATTTGTAGTAGAAGCGTGCGTAAAACTCAAATAAGTAACTTTTTGTTTGTGTAAAGTGGAACTCACTGAAACTATTGTGCACTTGTCGAGAAGTGACCTGGAATCATGTCAATTCCTTCATTTCTTTTGAATTGATGTCCTGTGTATATTGTATATTGTATTGAAGATATAACTTATGCAGCAATAAACAAATTTTTCTGTTCGTATTATTCGGAATTCAGTTGTACTTTGCACAAACTTGATAATGAATGACACCAAATATTGTCACATATGTCGCGCACTAGTGTTAAATTGTGGTAATAACTAAATGTCAAGTGTTGCCATTGTAAAGCAACAAACAAATAAAAATGTAGCCACCATTTGTTGGAACAGAAACGTGACAACAAAAGAAGCCAACGAGAGAAACAATAAATAGGAGAATAGAAGATACGAAAAAAAAAATACAAAATGGAAAAAGTGGCATTTAATGGCACAGACAAAAATGAATCTCTATTGGGCACTTGAATTTTATTTATATTTTATTTTCTGTTTTATTTATTTAGATTGATTTTAAGTGTATATAAGAGATTTGAGTATTTGAGATTTGAACAAATAAATGTGTAAACAAGTTGATTTTTATTTACGGAGAGTATCTTTAACTTATAAATATAAGTAACTGAAATTTTTTTTTTGAAAAATAATTATAAAGAATTGTAAATATTATTAATATAGAACAAAATCTCTATTATAGAGTTCTAACTAAATTGGGAAGGAGTTAAAATTCCTTTCTCCATGATATTAGAATAGATTAGAAATATACGGGGTACTAGCTCCCAACGGAGCAGAGCACTGCGACCAGATTGATTTTTTGTGCTGTAACTGACCCTAACAGAACGTGATGTTCTCCATGATATTATTATTATTGTTATTAAAAGAAGAATCGTACTGCGACCTAAAATATCTATTAAGAGGCACACTTAATCGGATAAGAGTGTTTCTACAAGTTTAATTTCTTAAATAAAGGATAGTATAAAGCCTATCTTTCTTAGTCTAAATTCTTATGAGCCATGAAATACCCTCCTAAGTGTTTCTTCCGCTTGTGCATCCGTGCCGGGTATTCGCCCAAGCACATGGTATGCAGTTTCTCTCTCTCTCTTATCTACAGTATCTGCAGTCTGAGTTGGATTGAATTCCTGACTTTGTTAGGTGATTATTCAATTATAGTGACCGGACAATAATCCCGTAATAGGTCTTAGGTTATTTTTTGATTGTGCTATGCAATCTTTGAAGCGTTTTAGGTTGTAAGTCCCTAAAAGCATTTTAGATTTTGAAAGTTCTTCCACTGCGCCACTCATAAGAATGGATGCATAATGTCATCTTGCAGCTGTGGGTATATGACACAGGAATTGTGTTTTCTTCGTTTATATAAAGTTATAATATTATTGTGTAATAATTTAAGATTCATACTTCGAAGAGTGCTGATTGCAGGATCCAGTTTTGTTACTAATTGTAGAAGTTTTGAAAGTTTGCGGGGGAAAAAAAACTCTTAAGCATTTTCTCTTTGAATCTTCAGCTCTAGTCTCCAGAAAATCAGGTTATTAGTGAAATCCCTTCTTGAAAGTTCATCAAACTGTTCATTGGTGAGGACGAAAGACCTCTAGTAGTTCTTTTAACTACTTTTAATATTATTTATTTATTGATCGTAAAAAAACAAAAACATGTTTTTCTTAATAGTCAATACAACCAGATGGTGGCAGGGTTCGCAAGTTGTTGCTATTCTTGCTGCAATTTTTATATTAAATATTCAGAATTCGAAGGAATAAATTTAGTTTTTGTTTTTTTATATCTAAAGATTTTTTGTAGAGTTCTTTATACTTTTATTTAAAACTTATTAGTTTTCTGTTTCTAAAATTTAAATATTCCAATCTTCAATGTAATTAAAATACTATAAAAATCGATTAAGAAGACAACTAAGAGTTATTGTTTGTTATTACTAGAAGTTCCTAAGAATAATAATTATTCTTTCAATTTTGTAACACAATTACTAAATTTTAAATTATGAAAAACAACTAATTAACTAACTTTAACTTTAATGAATATAAATACTTTTTTGTTTATTTTGAATAACTTTTCTAATTTAGCTGCATAAACATAAAATAATATATTAAAATTGAATTAATTTAAATTAAGGTTGAAAAATTTCAAACATCTACACATGCAAACATATAACACTAATAAATAATAGCTCGTTTAGTTAACAACTTTGAATTTTACGATTTTATTCACAAAATTTTTATAAAAGTTTAATTGCAATGCCTTCAAGCGCAAATATTTTCATTTTTTGTTACCATAATTATTTATAAATAAAAAAAATACTTAAAAAAATATATAAATACTTTTATTAGCTATTTGAACGTATGCTGTAAATATTTTTGAACACTAAATTATTTAAAACAAAATTTTTATATGAAACTATTCATGAAATGTTGCCTTTGTATGAATTTAAAGTCACTCATACGCCACGGTGTCCACATCCATGCCAACCCATGATCTCCCGTGCCAACCAGCTTTTTTAAGCTTATTTTTACTGCATTTGTTGCATTTATTGTGTTAGTAAAATTATGTTTTAAATCATTTTTAGTTTATTTGGCTTTGAAATATAATTTGTAGTGTAAATTAGTGTATTTTTGCAGTTGAATTTGTGTGGTGCGTTGCAGCTCTGACATTGACGCAACCAAAAACATTTATATTTTTATAATTTATGGTCAAATCCGTTGATAGAAACATATTTTGTGGTTTTTGACGTTGACACAGAACATGAAAATGTGACTTGAAAATGCTGTTAACATTTAAATCAAATTATACTATTTAATTTAAGTATTTCAGTTTAGAGCTTAAAGCGATAACGAGTGATTATGTATATTAATATCAAAGTAGATTAAATATATTTATTTTTGCTAAATTTGATTTACTTTTAAATTGAATTTTATGCCTCAAGCAATGCTTATAAAGAGGTTTTTAATAGAAATTTTATATTATTTATATTGAGTTTTTTAGTGCAGTCAGGTTGCACTTTCATATTCTAATTGTCTTTCTCCACCGATTTTTTGCATTTAATATTTTTAATTCATCATTATTGAATATAATTTTTTTACATTATAAGTCATTTAGAAGAAATCAATTAAAATCTTCATTTTATTATCGCATTCAAATGTTTTGCACATTCAATGGCAAATTCAATGTTTCATAAAGCGAATTTATGTGCCAAGGACTCATTACAAGCTGAGCACTTGAAGAGTGGAGAGTGTGTGAAAATTGGCGAAAGCAAAACTAGTCTGTATAGAAAAAAGACGAATGCAAGTTGAAAAGGATATTATGGCATTGAAACTCATTTAAGTGTTTTCGATTTCATATTTAAGTAATGTTGAGTTCAAAGCGTCTCAGTTTCATTATTGAGATGTTAATATATGAAAGTGACTTTCAAATCAATTTTTACTAAAATATTTACTTAAAATTTTTTTTTTTTATATCAAAAAGGATATTTAATTAAAATTGAAATGTTTTAGATTTTAGAAAATTTATTTCATACAATTAAATATATTTTGTTAAAAATAGTAATTAAAAAATTTCTACGAATTTATTTCACGCGATAGTATCTACAAAATGTTACGTTTTATATTTTTCTAAAATAATTAACTAACAAATAAATTTACCTAATAGGTTATA